TAGAGGATACAATGAATATTAACTTACAAAACTCTGTCAAAAGTTTGTTCATTGATAGATGAAAATCTTAGATCAAAGATGTGAAAAGGTTTTGTCAAGACCCACAAACAAGCAATCAAAGATAATCAATCAATAGAGAATCCAAATTAGTTCACAAACATATATTAAATGAAATACATAAGGTATCAAAAGATTACATCCAAACCCCAACAAGAGATCAAAGATCTTACCTCCTCCCTCTTAGGGTTTTGTATTTCTCTCTCTAAAATAAACTTGAAATGAAGAGAGATAAGTTCTGATGTAGAAAATATTACATAATAACCTAAAAAGCAATAAAAGTACTTATATAGTATATTCAGGATCTGTCATGTTCGCACTGAGAACAGATCATTCGCCTAGCGAACATCAAATTAGGCACCTGAGGTGCCTCTGAACAGTTAAACCGCCTTTGAGACTTTTCCACATGTTCGCTATGCGAGAAATCCTTCGCACTGCGAAGGCTTCGCTACACACTTTGCACAGCAAATTCTTGTCTAAAAAGTTATTGCCTCAAGTTTGGGAGTGTTCGCTAGAGCTTCGCTACCACTTCTCCTAGCGAGTTCTTCGCTGCCTCCTTCGCCTAGCGAGTTTTATGATGTTTTTCTACTGTCTTGGTTTCCTTGCCCAATTTCTTGTGTCTTACTATTCACTTGTTTTGTGTCTAATTCCTGCACAATAACACACAAATCAAAGCAACCAAGGCATTTTTCAACAATGAAGCATATCATTTAAAACCTGAGTGATTCTAATCACTTTCACCTACAAAAAGAATGAAAGATGCCAACATTTGATACAGAAAATAAGCAAAGTTTGGCATCTAACAATGACGAGTGGGGGTTTCTCCTGGCTTATCTAGAGAGTTTAGTGTACGCCTTGTGGGCGATATGCGACGCATTCGTTCCTATATCATAGTTTTTAGTGCACCGTGAATCTCAAACAAATACAATTCACTTTATTAAAACTCACAAACAAAATTCAAACTTTTTTATCCTTCGGGATTTGTTATCTCAAAATCATTTTTAGAAAGAGTACGTTATTTTTCCATTCTATCACAAACAGGCATCGACCTTAACTGCTGTAATAGTAACTTAACGTCGCTCATAAAAAACACTTAACCAATCTGTGGTTTATTACCCAAACTATGTTTGGTATGATTTCAAATACCGGATGAGGATACGTAGGCACAAGAAGGCGATGTCTTGGCGAGCAACCTTCCCCCCATCACCCGTAGTTTTTCGAACTACGTTGACTCCGACTTTCCCATTGCACGAGGGAATACGTAGGCATAGAGCGGCGATGTCCTATCGAGTCTCCTTTTTCTTTTCCGTGTCCTGTTTAGCAATAGCTTTTAGATAACACACCCTTTGATTAGATAACAAGCATGGATCCCGTTGAGTACAACGGACGTGGGAGGATGCTAATACCTTCCCCTTGCGTAACCGACTCCCAAACCCATGATTTGGTTGCGATGACCTTGTCTTCTCCTTTCTCTTAGGTTTTCTTTGATCATTTCCTTTCCCTCCTTTGGGATAAATAACATTCGGTGGTGAATCTTGTGTTTGTTTCTATCGGTTGTTTTTCGCAGTTGCGACAATAACAACCTATGGTGATGAACGATGATGATGAACAATGAATGTTAGGATTGAAATGGTGTATTGTTTCTCAGCACTGAACGTTAGGGTTATTGGTCTGATACCTAAATGATCTTTTGATCTCCTATGCTACCCCATGTCTAGCATTGCCCCTCATTCCACAACTGCTCTATAATTCCATAGTCCTAGATACTTGTTTATTTTCTGGAACTAGGCTCATGTTGTTACAATAATGAGATATTTGATGTGAGGATTTTATAAAAATGGGACATCTGACGTTAGCCAGTCATGGTAGTGTTTGTACCGCCACACATCTCTTAGAAAATATTTCCTCTTCTCTTTTCTAGGTTCATAGTGAACTCTGGCTCGGATTTGAAGAGGTATATCTTGAGGTTCATTCGGAAGATACAAACCCATAGTGTTACTCAACTGAGAGAAAAATAAAACTCTATCAATCTCGGCCTTTCAAAACTGAATTTGGATCCGATAAGATTTACCAATAAGCTTCGATAGAAGTTAGAGATCATAATTACAGGCCAGCTAAAACTCAACCAGAGTGTGACTGGTCGGATGGCCACAAATCTAAGTCCAAATCTGTAGGTGCACGTTAGCGTCTTTCCATGGTGGCTTAAAACTGATACGAATGACCAATTAAGCTAAATCAGAATTCGGCGGATCCAAACGACAAAAATCAGAGATTTTGGCTTCTTGAAAATTCAATTTCTTCACCTGAGACGCTTTTGTATTTCATATGTGAAAATGAAACGTGAAATTATGGAAATTACAAGAATTGTAATTTGATTCTCACTAACGATGCAATTGTTCCTTTGCGGAACTAGAAATAGAGAAAATTGCAGAAATTGTGGCATTATTTATATCTTGGTATTAAAAGTGGATATTAGAGATTGTATACCTGAAAAATTTTTATGAAGGTATTTATACATTGGACCTGACGGAGCAGGGTTGATAAATTGACCTCCTGGTATTGGGTCTTTGGTCAGCGTTGAGTAGAGTTTCCTTGACCCTTTGGCTCACACAAAACAAAAATTACAACAAAAAAAAAAGTTTAAATCCTAAGGATTTTTGCTTATAGGTAACTTTTTAATTGCAATATTATAACTACATAAATTTGTTTTCACTTTCCATCCTTGAAAACACAAAAAGAGAAAATAAAAGGAGTGAATTTCTACGTCCCTACCAACCATATTCTCCTTCATAACTAGTCAAAAAGACATGAAACTTTCACACTTAATCATTCCTTATAATGTTGAGAGTGAAGCTCTAACTTCTCTTTTAGTTTTCTAAACCACCAAAACATAAACATTCACTAAAACCTAATTCATCGTCTTCATCCTTAAAAAATACTTCCAATCAAATCAATTTCTTACACTGAATCAACAAATATTTATATACTAACCAAAGATGTATGAAGTGGTAGAAAGTTAATAGACGAAAACATTTCGGAAGAAAGGAAAACCTTAAATATGAGAGCCTGCATAACTACCAGGTTTGATGAAATTCACAATCAATTGGAGGGACTCTCTTACATGTTTGATCAGCTTGAAGAGATTGAAGATGGTTTTTAGGAGTAGATGGATTATGTCTAATAATCAGTTTCTTTGCATTTCTGTTAGAACTATCAGTATTTTCGTTTGTATGTTTTAAGTACTAGTTTAGTATGTTCGTACTTGTATGCTTTGGCTTTACAAGATGATGGTTATGTATGTTTTGGTTTTTAACATGTTGGATATGTATGGTTGTTTATGCATGTTTTATGTTGTATATATGTATATATGTATGGCTCTTTGGTTGCTTCTACCACTTTTTCTTCTTTAAGATAATTTCAAAAGTGGGAGAAAATATTGTTTATGTTACGCTTCACAGGATAATTTCACACGTATACATCCATTGAAAGAGATTTTTAAAGGTGTATATAACACACTATACTCTATAAAACAAATCTCACCTATTTCAAATCATTTTTACACTGTTCAAACATTATTTTTAAAATATTCATCTTTATTTCAAGTTTCTGAAACTCTGTCCACTTTCAAATATCATAAAGGTTTCAATAATATGAGCACTCGTGATATTAGTTTGAATTTGATACAAGAAAGAGAATTCTATTTTACAAGTGTTAAATTCGAAATACAGGCCATGAACAAAATTCATAATAAAGTGTGTGTATTACTTATTCATTAAGGTTGTGGTGAGAAGTAATGGTTTAAAGAAATTAGTGCTCTTTCTTTGTGGTTGTGTTAAAAGGTTGTAAGATAGGTTCTTAATGTGAAACTTGTACACAAATTTTTAACATGGTGTAAGATCCTTTAAAGGAATTGGGGAGACTATACAAGCCTTCATTTGAAGAAGTTGAATAGGATAATTTGTTATGTCATTTAACTTCCAACACATTATATTTTAATATTCATAAATCGGTTAAGTAATCATAACATCATTTATAACATCATTTTCGGAGGGGGGAAAATTAAGTTAGCACATTTTTGAAATATTTGCTCTTGTTTTCAGAAGTTATTAAATGGAGAGAAAAAGTGATTTCGTGTTATATTAAAAATGTCTCTAGATAATACTATTTGGATGATATAAAAAATATTATATCCAGACACACTCATTTGTACTTGTATTTAGAATATGTTTTAGTTTATATTATGTTGAGGTTGTGTTCGGAATGTATTATCAAGTTGAAGCAAAATAACAATTTTTTAATTTTATAAAATTTAGAAGAAAAAATATATATAGGATGTAACGAGCAATTCCAAAAAATTCTACTATTAGATGTATTAAACTTGAGATATTAGTTTCTGTTGAAAGTATTCTTGTTAATTTAAAAAAAAAATCACTAATTCAATCATTTGAGTAATTTATTGATTAGTGTAATAAAATGAAAAATTATATTTAAAAAATAAAATCTAATGAATGAAAAGAAAACAAAAGCCCACTCATGACATGACCCATCTATATGGCCAGTGGCCACCAGGTCACATGCTTAAATATTAAACAGAAAAGAAACAATCAAAGATTCGGAATCTGTCGTAACAATGTTTCCAGAATCTATAATTTGTGTGTAAATAAAAACAAAACAGGTAAATGCCACCATTTTTAAACAAGAAAAGGAAAAAGAACAAAAATAGATAAACATGCGATGGAATTAACCTACGTGGCAGAAAAGAACATGGTGAAACCATGACGAAAACATGAGGACACTTTTTCATGCTGTGCTTTGTTGGATTATTAAATCATCATCATATATATTAAATACTCAATAAGCTAACTTGATGGAACCACCAAAAGCCATTTCCAACACGCATAGTTGAATTTCATTTTCTTTTGGGAGTTTGGAGAATCCTCTTTATGGAACTTGAGGCTGAGATTGATCGGTTACCTATTGACTTATTGGCTAATATTTTTGTTCTCTTCACTTCCTTCACTGATTTGGCCCAGTAAGTTGATTATTCCCTTCATGAATTGTGCTATATATAAGTGCTTTTTTTTTGTTTTTATTAAGGTTTGTGGTTTATATTGTTCGGTTTTGTAAGGGCTGGCAAGGTTTGCAAGAAATGGAAACAAGGGGTGAAGGAATCTCTTGCAAGGAAACAGAATCTTAGCTTTTCTGGTTGGAAGATGGATGATGATTCCACCTCTAGACTTGTTTCTCATGCCTACAACCTTAGAAAACTTGATATGTATGTTTTCATTTCTTTGTTTCTTTGTAGTTGTTGATGATAAGGTTTGTAGAATTGTTTGTGACATATTGTTTTTTATGGTGTTTGTTGAAAAATCATAGTCAAAAAGGTTGGTATGAATTGTATGATGTTTGTGTTTTTCAGACCGAGAAGCCGGTGGAGTTGTCAAATAACGGATGCCGGACTTATCAGAATATCGTATGCGAAGTGTATCGGAAATCTCACATCCATTTCATTGTGGGGTTTGACTGGTATCTCAGATGAAGGAGTTGTTCAACTGGTAAGTCGTCATCTATTTTTGATCCTACGGCTCTGCAACCGCACATGTGCGGAGCGGCTGAGGGCCGTAGTAATATGGTATTTGTTACCTTTTGCTGACTAAACTTTTGGAACGGACTAATTTTAATGTGATTTCCTTTTGCGTGATAGATATCCAAAACTCGATCTTTAAGGTATCTGAATGTCGGTGGTACATTTATCACAGACGAATCTCTATTTGCCATTGCAAAAAGTTGTCCAAAAATGGAGGTAATTTTGACAAAATTTAATGTTAGCTTCTGTCAAATTTGATGTTACATTACTCAAATTCATGTCATATATGATTGTTTCTTGTTTTGTTCTTGTTCAGACCATTGTTCTGTGGAGCTGCCGTCATGTAACTAAAAACGGACTTATCGCCCTAGTTGATCAATGTCTCAAGCTCAAATCAATGAATGTATGGGGAACAAGAATTCCTGTGGAATGTCTTAACAATTTGCTTATCATGAGTCCAACTCTTCAAATTAAAATCTAAAGCTCGATTTCTTGTATATAGATTGTTTACTAGTATTCAATTTGATTCATGAAAAGATGAATATATCGATATTCTTTCTTGAGTATTGTACAGAAAACATCATGTTGTAAAGAAAGACTTAGTTTACAGAATAAGTTGTATAACATGATTGAAGTACCTTATTGGTTTAACATTGAAATATAGATGGTAAGAATAGTTGGGATTCAATCATACTAAACCATTTCCATGACCAAAAGTTTCGAATAATCCTGATCGAGCAAAATTCTTATCGTGTCATCGACGATTGATGTTTTGGTAGAAAACCTGCAAGCTGAAACGTTGTGAATATTAGTGATATGACATGACAATTAATGCACGTGCAATGTTATGCACATGCGACGACGGATAAGCAATCGAAGCGTACACGTCTAGAATGCCGAATATGCAACATACCTGAAATGCTCCAGATATATTCTTGAATGACTTCTCAGATTCTTGATTATAGCCTTTCCTTTTCTGAAATTTTGTTGCCTAATTTTCTAACCTCTAAACCATTCCATGACATTTCGATTTCGAGATCGAGGCTATATAATCCATTATACTACATAGTTAGATGCTAGAAGCCTCGCTCGAGAGTCGACACTATCTTGCATATGATATGCAAATACGATAATACCAGAAACATATCTTGACAGGCCTAGCTTGCATATGATATACGATAAAACTCATGGAAACTGCAAAAGAACTGTGGTAAGCAGGAAGTAAAACAAGAGGAAAAGCGGGCGATTTGGAGAATGGACTGGTGAAGCTGATTTAATTGAAAACTGAACATAACCGTTAAAGGTTCCGGGAGTGTTAGTCATTGGACTTGTACTCGGTACAGAAATGTTCTTGCAAGATCCAAAAGGTGCTCCTGCCTGCAAAATCCATCGAAAAACATACATGAATGAGAAATTATCAGAATCAAGAAGAAAGTTCAAAACGAGTCGCAAGGAATGCAAACAAACCTCGCAGGCAGTGACTGTACTGCATCCACACAATGTGTGGCCATTTATCCGATCAATGATGTCAAAAACACCGCCACCATCACTCCTCTGCATCAAAATTTCATTTAGAATTCCAAAATGGATTTGCGAGTTAAGATGTTTTCAGTTTCATGTTTATTGAATTTGAATTAACAACGCAGTAGAACAAAGAATACCATGTAAAAGTTAACTGCGATGAAGTTAGGCAGCACATTTCCTGCAGTCTTGTAACATGTATTCACCATATTTGCAAGTGGAGCTGAATTCTCTTTGCATGATTCAGCTTCAACCGGATACGTTGGAAAGTAATTCTGCAAGAAAAGTGATGCACTTCTAGAATTTAGCGGATTTGATTCTTTTCTACGTGGGCAAGAACCGCGATGAAGTCCAGAATCTCCAGCTGAAAGTTAGTGAAACACGAGATTGTAAAGTCAGTTTGAAATGGCTTATTAAACTTATCTTCTGATATAAGCAATTGTGAGACTGTTTGTGAGAGCTTATGAGAAAAACTTATACATAAACACTTACTTGATAAGCGCTTAATTAAGCGACTTATCCAAACAAAGTCATGATATATAGTTTAGATATCAATCTAACAAGGGCATTGGACTTACACTCATTTTCAACCATGTATCTCCACTGATAAGCTATTCCTTCTTCAGCTTCTTTCGAAGCATCAGAAGTGAAAACAAGAAGTCGATGATTAGCTTGAACCATCTGCGTTATAGTAGGCCAATCTTCACCTTTTTTCGGCATATCAGACACAGGGAACCAGTATTTATCAAGACCAGCATTTACGAATAGATTAATCAATGCTTTTGGTGCACGCACATAGTCTTCAATTATAACGGTGACAATCTCCGTCGGATTTTCAGTCAAAAACACTTCCACTTCTTTCAAAGTGTTTATAGCAGGTTGCTGAAAACAAGATTCGACTCATTACAATTTACAACCACCAAATCATATTCAGATACATTAAAATAAATAACAGAGAGGGTTAAATTCGATTACAAATGCGGTGAAGTTGAAGCATTGTCCTTGAAATGAATGACATAGCCAAACATCATTCTGGAAGTCATACATGTCCAACATCAATCCTCTCACTCCATTCTAAAACAACATTCACCAAACAAATGTATAATAAGAATCACAAAACAAATAACCAAACAATACTTTTGTTTATAAATAATAAAGCATAAAAAAAAATAAAAATACCCTCAATTGGTTAGTGACAGTGTCTTCTTGATTATAAAATGTAAGCCTTTGAATTCCATTCAAAAAGGGTGCATCCATTATGCTGAATGAATTATGTGTCATGATCCATGAGTATTTGTTGAAGGGCAACCCACTCACCTTCATAAGTTAGTTACAATGAACAGTTAAAACATATTGAACGTTTGTCAGGTGTCTGTCTGACCGGACACGTGTCATGTCTGTTATTTGTGTTTGTGTTTCATAATAAAAAACAAAAGAAACATGGGATTGAAACTGAGAAACTTACAATGGATGTTACAACTGTGGCTTGGCCTCTAGTGCAGACAGATTGAGTCCTACCTAAACCAGGACAATGGCCACAATAAAAGCCTGGTCCACAATCTGTAGCTGTGGAACATGTTGCTACAACCTGTGAATTCTCTGGTGATAATAAGTAGATGAATAACATATGAAAGAAAAAAGAAAAGGAAGTGAATTTGGAAATTCTCATAGAAGCAAGGGGTGGAAGAAGGAGAGAGAAAGTTGATGAAAGTAATATAGTGTTTTTTCTTTGGCTCCACAGTGAGTTGTAAAAAGCAGGCTTTTGAGAGGTTAAACTTTAACCCCACCTCTCAAACCAAGTTATTTCTTATGTGTGATCCACTCTGTCTCATTCTTATCTTGCTTTCTCGGATCTCTTTTATGCTATCCATGTGGTGGGGTACGTTGCTTCTTCTCGTGAATTTGCTTCTAATTCTAGAGAACACTGTTTCATCATGGTCGTGGTTGAAATGACATACAATTTCATCACCATATACATAGCCTCTCTCTATGCATTTTTCTTAATTATAGTCGAGGACAATGCGTTAATTCCTGTATTCTCATAATATTTTAAATTTTGAAAGTGCTTAACGATTAATTATATTCGAAAAACTTATTTAAACTCTCCAAAGCTCTTCCAAATCTTCCTTCAAATTGTATTACAGCAAAAAACAAACCAAACTTCCCTACTCAAATTGTACGTATGAAAAGCATTAGAAAAATACAATTGTCGACTATTTAGTTATATAATTACAATTGTCAAATTATATAAAAATTTGTGTACCTAAACTACTCGGTGAAAACTTTTGGTACAAATAAAATTATCAAATAAGCAAAAATTTCACCATGATAAGCTATATCATAAATTTGACAAAAATTTGTATAATTTTCTAGTCATATAAGTAAATTAAAAAAATTGTAAGAGTTGGAAACTATATGAGGTCTTCCACTGATATGCATTTGTCCATTTCCCTACTGGAAAGGATTGTATGGAATTTTGATTCAATAAGCTTGTAATATCCAACTGGGACAGCTAGCTAATACAGTTAGGTATTGTGAAAATGAATGTTTGAATGTAGCTTTATCTATGCAATTACAATTGTATGGCCTTGCCACTGTGAGCAAAACAACTTCAAAAATACTTCTTTCAGCTATCAATCAAAATGCTTTCACTGTGATAAAGAATACCTAAAAGAATGGATTCTTGATTTTTAAACAAATTCCTATTAAGCAAGCTTCTTTGCCCTACCACTTGAAGGAGCACCATCTTCTTTTTTCGATCCAGGTGCCTCTGGTTTCCGAGCCCAGACGGGAGCTCTATCGGGTTCATAACGGTAATCATAAAACAGCTCCTCCCCAGCATTAATCCGCTCCTTGGCAAATATTCCCACCCTATGATCTCCAGCAACCATAATAACCTGTCAGTTTAAGCAGAGAGCGATAGTCAACAACACCAAAAGTCCATGAATGCTTGAATGCTCAACCAAAATGCAATGTGAAATGGAATTTCAGTTATAAAAGCAGCTGATGGGGGAAGATCCGAATACCTTCGCATAACAATTTGGAACAGGAGAGTGGTTTGCAAACTTCAATTTATCACCCTTTCGATATGCATCAAGAACAAACTGCAAACAAGATTCATCTTACATGTGATGTGTGTAATGCAAGGGAAAAAAATTCTCCAACAAAGATTTATATTAGTAAACTCTTGCCTGATCATTCAGATTAAAGAGAAAAGAGGAATTTTCACGGTCATATATCTTTCCTCGCTTATCTGCTTCCCTGTGAGAAATTAACTCTCCAGTATACTCTCCAAGGTATTCATGCTTACCAACGCTATTCTGGAGTTCAACCAAATAGCATTAGGAAAAATCACACCTAAACAAATTGAATCATCAATTTGGTAAATACCTTCAAGAATGCTCCCCAACCAGACACATCAGACCGTCCAAGAAGAACCTGAATGAAAGAATGTTAGATGTAAATTGCCATTATGGTGAACAAAAAATAGCGAGTAAGAAACATCATTTAAAAGGATATAAATAGCAACACAGAAGAACAAGACACGGATATTGAGAACGAAGACTGCATTAGGGTATAGACCAAAGTTCCATGCAAACCCATGTCCATCCTAACATGTACTATACAACTACAGGGAGTTACCGTTCTCGATGTGATTTCTTCTATTTCTCCCAATCATAATAAATTATAGGTCTCGCTATGTGTTATTTTTTTGGGAAGGACTTCTCCAAAAAACTAAACAAATAGGTCTTGATGTAATAGTTTGACAAGAGTGAATATTCTGGAATGAAAGGAAATGGGTCTATCTTTGAAGATTTTAAAAGTAGGTAGAATTGAAAAAGGCAGTCAAGGAAAAGAAATACCTTTTGCTGCTGCTTAAGAAGAAGCTTCATGTTTCTACATTCATAATTATCCCCTCTTTGACTAGGAATCCCAAGAGTGCCATCGCCACAGCTGCTATAATAATTTGACTCAAATAGCAGTAAGTAACATGGAAAATAGTGACTATGAAGCTCTACCACATGATTAATAAATTGCTGCTCTTGTTGGGGAAACAAATGGATAAAATTGCACATGTAACAATCACATATGTGGTTGCTATTCCATGCTTGATATCAATTTTATGTTATTCACAAGGACAAAGAAACTAACAAATGACAGAGGCAATGCTGACACAGACACAACCAAAAAACATGTAAGCCTCACCTGACCCAACAGTTTCTACAAACATCCGGATCACATTCCCTATCTGCAGCAAAGCATGGACATTGACGACTTCGGCATTGACTCTTTGCACAATGACAGCCACGAAATCGGTTTTTACAACTCTTGGGACATCTTCAGATCAAAACAATTATCACACAAATTAATGGATATCCAATGCATGCCACAGGATTTCTGATACCACCAAAGCACGGGACAATTGAGCAAAACGCTATTTGGATGAATTAAAAGCTTACCCACAGTACTTCTCACAGCAGGTTCCATTTTGAAGACAAGGACACTCCTTTCCACAAGCTGATTGGCATCCACATGGGTTGTACTGTCGGCAGGGCTGATCCTTTCTCTCTGTAATCCTTTTCCTGATTGAATGGTAGGCGGCAGATTTCCAGGTATACTTTAAACGACGGACTTTTCCTCTTCTACGTAAAAATTTTGATCTTCTTCTCACATCATTATTACCCTTACATTCATTTGACCAAAACTTGTTCAGTTAAGCACTATATGCAAGTAAGATGGAGTAAAGAAAATATTGCACAAAGTATAGTTGCATCAAAATCAACCTTGGAATAGCCTTCCACAAGAGAACTCACAGCATCCCCAGTAGAACCAGACAACTTCCCTTCTTCACAATTTATGTACCGGAAAACATCCCAACATGTCCTTAGACCATTAAAGAGATTCCTGGCTATTAAGCAGCTGCAATAAAAATCAGTTGCTACTTATTAGGTGACTGGCCATTGGTAACTCTTGTCTAAAGGCAATGTGAATGTGGAGATCATTCTCCTAGCCTAGCCCATCATCAGAGTTTAAAGAAGTGACAATTCCAAAATGAAAGTAGGCATCAAACAAGACAAGTCACATGTGTGACATCTAAAACTACATGTAATAAAACTTAAGTAGACACTGACAAAAACTACATGGCAATATGTAACTTATCCAAAAAAAAATGATCAGTAATCCTCAAACACCTTTGCAGATGTGCTTATTTTAAGTAAACATTAAAATAGGAATTCCTATTGAATTTTGTATGTATAGTACAGTATCACTGTAAAATGAACAAAATTGAAGAAAGGACCAAGTCTCCAAGCAAATGCTGAGTTCTCTAGACTCTAACAACAATCCACTCAAAAGACCCTTCCTTATTCACTCCCTACCCATGATATAAGGGATGCAATCTGGTCTATTATTGAATGAAGACAAGCTTGTAAGTAGAATTGGACTTGTGATCCAAGCTGTGCATGTACATATCTCGCCTCAATACTAATTACAACATTCATGCATTACATCATATCATTTGGTAAATAAAGACAGAAAAACATGAATCTCCAATCTAAACATATATCTGACCTGTTTTTGCCAAAAATCTCCATTCCTTTTTCTAAAAGCCCTTTTTCAAGAGCTTTCCAAGATTTATTATCTGTCATTTCTTGTTTAGAAATGTTTTCATCCACAAATTCTTCTTTCCTTGTGTTGTCTTCCCCACTCATGACATGTGGTTCAGAAACCAAATCATTCAATGGGCGGTCAGGAGCTTCACTCTGCATTATGTAAAGATCATCACAAGCCAAACCCTTCTAGATCTTTCAATATTAAGAAATCTGACACGCTTGTATAGTAAAATAATTGTGTTTTTGTTATCTTGGCAATAATTGAAGTTAAATACATGTCACTTGAACAAAGAACACTACTTACAATGGAATCAGAATCAGAAGCTACTGTTTTCTTCTGCCGTTTCTGCATGCAAACTAGAACACGTTCTGCCACTCGTTTACTGTTTCTCTTACCTTTTCCACTTTTCCCTACTGGCTTAGCTTTAGGTGGAGCTGAGTGGGAAGCCGAAATAGCATCCCGTCCAGGACCATTCTCTGAGTCACTACTCTCAGATATGTTCTTAGCATTAGATGAAGCACTTTCACTTTGGCTGCATTTTATTCGCCTTCTACCAAAAGACTTTTTCCGAGATAGAACACTGCCTGAGGATTTGTCTTCAACATCAGTCTGGGTAGAAGATGTGACTTTCGACATTTTTTCTGCCTTAAGTACCTATAAGTAGGAAAGCATGGGCAACTTCAGTAAATTGTTAATAGAAACTATCGGTAGATCCTTATGAAGTGGCCAGTACTCACCGATCTGAAACAATTTGGCCCACATGGTGCATTTTCAGTATTAGGAGGAATCCACGGAGGTTGCCTCTCAGCCTATTTATGAACAAAGTTAAGAAACACGCAGATAGACAACTCCATAAGAAGCAACTCATAAGTAGAACCTACCGGAAATACAAGATCCTGGGAGCATCCATGTAATCTGCAATCGAAAACCTGCATATGAAAATACCACAACAAATGAGATATAAAGAGAAAAAAGAAACTGCATGCTATTCAGTGCCTTTGTGGGAAAAGAATCTTACACGACATCGGCGGCAAAAGAGATTGTCGAAAGAGTCAAGAGCTGCTTCAAGATCCTTTTCCAGAAAAGAATTGTCACTTTGTGAAGTATCTTGTGCATCTCCAGTTTTAGAATCCCCGCCAGCATTGTCTTCATTGAAAAAAGTTTCATATCTGGCCTGTATAAGATCTTTGATGGTTATTCATAACTCTAAAGCTAGCACAGATCAAATCGGAAACAGCTGGACGAAAGCTTACACTTACGACCAGTTTTCATCAGAATAACTGAGAGGTGTGGCAGAAGTGGAAAATACATTAAGGTTGAGAAAATTGAATATTATTTACAACAAAGGTCGGTGAAGGACAAAATTATACCTTAATGTCACTAGTTTTTCTGGAAAAACAATGAGCCAGTGACTCCAAAACAGTCTCAGATAAACCAAATTCTCTGATAGTCATGCTGTAAAACAAAACCAGACATTATGAAATCCAAAAGACTGTCTCAAGTGCAACACACAATAAAACAATATGTAAATATAAAATCACAACAGAAGGATACACAATAACTGCAGGGTTTCATTAGCCTTTAATGAAAGTGGCAGAATTGACAAGAGAAACCAACCACAGAATCATTGTTCTAAACCTATTTTAATATAAATTTAATCATGGCAATTCTTTTTACAGAAAAATGTGGAGATATCAAAGGATAGTATGAAATATGCATAAACACTAACTTTATTTCCCAATAAAGGACTTAATTATGCAAATAACTGATCAAGGATCTTCTTTTGAGTCCTTCTGTATATAGAAAATACAAAAAAGAAGAAAACAATCGTCAAACATCCTGTTAGAACCCACTAATGGTCAACCAAAAAACAATAATGCCCCAGACATGCCAGTTCAAATATGCTTCCATTAAAAACGAAAACAATAAATAAAAATTATGAAGTATTTCATAGATAGTTCAATGGATGAAAACAAATGCTAAAATCAAGTGGAGGTTTGAGTGTATAAATAATTTTAATGACACTATATGTACACAAAATATGAACTCATTAACTTCCTAATCTAAAAGCTTGATCTTATTAACGTAATACATAATACTCAGATATGTATATTGCAATATTATTTTATAGGCCAACAAAGAACATCTAACAGAGAATAAAACAATGAGCACCCAATAATAGTTAGGTACGGTATACCGACCGAAGTATAAAATCTTCTGGCTCTACAAATTCTCTTTTTTCTTCTTCTTCATCAATTAGTTCCTCCTCACTGTCACTGCAAATAAGTGCTTCACCACCATTTTGATCATAATAAATTCGCCTCCGACCTAAAACTGATTGATCCTCTGTCATTCTTTGATTTCTGCACACAAATTATCACAAGTAGCACAGATCTTCAAAGGATCAGACTTTTGTACTTCAAAATAGAAGAAACTATAGAGCTGAAAATTAATAAATTGAAAAGGTGAAACTACAATAAAATTAAAAGAAAGAAAAAAATCGGTGAATGTCGTATTATTATGCATGCAAAATACAAATACATCAAATGGCTTTAATTTGCGGTTCACCATTGACCACCAATGATTGTAGACTCCGTTATGTTAGTCTTTGCCTTACTATCTATTTTGTCTTGTATGTCTAAGAATTTAGGCTTAGAACCTAGCTCAACCGCAAAATCGGCTTGTAAAATGAGAATTGTCCAATCATTACGTCACCACCTAGGTCATATAACTAGTTGATGTGGAGCCAGGAGCTCTCAACACACTTCCTCGAGATAAGACTAGACATGTGAAATGTGGATTATATGGGTGGAATAACATGATCCCAACACACACACCCTCACACTCAAAACTGCACATCTAGAGTGTGGACAAATATAAGTGGAATAGGAAAGATCTTAACCCAGTAAGAGGTCTAAGATAGATTTTGATACTGTCTTAGAATTTATGTTTAGGCTTAACTCAACCCCCATCAAAACTGGCTATTAAGGTGAGGACTGCCCAAGCCTAAGCACCATCTAGGTGATATATCTAGTCGATGTGGGACTCAACATGTCCAATCCACAACCACAACATGCTCATGTTTACAATACTAGATTTATAATCTTGTTGCCACTAACTCTTTACCATCTAATATTAACAATCACACAGCATCGCAGATTTTATAACTGGAAAAGCAAAACAAACCTGTCCAGAAAAATCCATGTAGTGTAAGGAGGCAATCTTCTCACTTCTGGTAATTTGATAGGCCGAACAGCATTCTTTACAGCAACATTCGATCCTAGAAGAACTGCCGTAGAACCATGGTCATCTCCATGATTACCATTGCTCTCGCCATCATCATTACCAGCACAAACACCATTGTGCATATCAATTGCTTCTTGTTGCCTCTTAGTCAACAGGTCCAGACTTTTATCCGTATCCGCAACGTCACACGTCTTTCTCTCCGCCGCCGATTTCCAGAGCTGGTTAGTAATACCAGCCAGCTTCTGTCTATTTTCCTCCACTCTATTCTGATATTCCAAACGCGCACACATTCAACGTGCCACAACATGTTATGTCAAACAAACAAAAAATCCAAATTCAAAATCAACAACTAACTACAATCAAATGTAATCAAATGTTAAGCTATTATACCTTGACCGAAACAACCCGTTTGGCAGCAACTTGTTTCTTCAAAGATTCAATAACCGATAACACCTCCTTAACAGCAGGACCGGTATCCTCCATTTTCGTTGTCTGCATTGTAAACAAACATTAAATCATCACACTTACAATTACATCATCACACTTACAATTACATCATCTTAATTAATTAATAAACAAATACAGCTCAAAGAAGCTAACAGCCACCATGAACATGTAGTGAAACCAAACACTTCCTTATATACAATGCAGCTACTTCCTCAGGAAATATAACCCAAAAAAAAATGCAGTATAGTTGTTTATACATCAATGGATTAAAAATCCAACGAAAAGACTAAGCAAATCAAAATGAAGATTAAACCATGATTGAAGCTGAAAAGTAAAACAAAACAAATATAGAAATCAGAAACCAAAGCGAAAGTGAGAAATGATAGAGAAAGTATACGGAAGTATCAACAGGAGGCTCGGATCTAGAAGACGAAGACCGGGAAGGAGGAGGTGGAGACTTCGACGCCATGGAGAGTGGCAATGGCGGCGAAGCTTACCGGAACCCGATTCGGAAGCCACAATCGGATCGAGATCCGTTTCATACAGATTGAATTTGGCGGGTTGAGAGTTGAAACCCTAATTGTTGGCTGAAAATCTAAAAAAGAAAATAAAAGAAAATAAAATAAAATAAATATGTTAGAGATGCTTTCAATTTATTTCTTTCCGCCGCTTTAGATGAAGACTTTTACTATATTTTATTTGTTTGGGTGAAGTGGGAGGAATGGGGGGAATGTGCTTGGTTTTGAAATTTATATAGCACTGTTGTATAGGTACTTACAAAGAAATGCCTAATCTGGCTATTTGTTCTTTACTTCTTTATTCCTCAATTTGTGTTACTATTGCAGTATTGCTCGCAAGTTTTATTCTTTATATATCCATTTTTAAGTCTTCATCTTTCCATGAATGGTGGTTTGCTTTTGAGTTGGCTACTGAATTCTGAGTATGTTACTTTAATCACTCTAACTTGAATTTTAGGAATTGTTTATTAGTAAATTTTGGATTTTTATAAAGGGCTTAGCATGTGTTTCATTCTTGACTATTCCAATGTTATTTTAATCACTCTTAACTTGAATTTTATGAATTACTAAATTGACAAACTTTGGATTTTTATAAAGGGGTAAGCATGGTTTGGTTCTTGGCTATTGAATTCTCGTATGATGTTATTTTAATTATTTTAACGTAAAATTTACGAATTGTTCTATGATTTAATTTTGAATTTTTATAAAGAATTTAACATTTGTATTTATATTTTACTATTAAATTCCTACGTTTTGATGTTGCTTTAATAAATTTAACTTAAATTTTATGAATAGGTGTTTATGCAAATTTTATATTTTTGTAAAGGAGTTAGTGTGTGGTTGCTTTTGTCTTAAATAAATTGTTTATCGATAAAAAAAAAAATAGTTTAACAAATATGTTTAAACACGATAAAAGAAATAGTTTAACGAATATTTTTAAACACAATGCAGAAGTTGTAAATAGATGAGTAATATATTAGTGGTATTTGCTCGGTTTTATTTATTAAAAAAAAATTATTTTTGAATTTAATAGACATACATTATTAATGTAAAACAATTTTACGCGATTGTTTAATAAGAAATCACTAATCTACTAAATTATAAGTTATTTTAAAATGTCAGTGTGCTTTAGTGGAATGTATGTAGTTCATCAAAGACGGTGTAAAATGATCAGTGCATCTTCTATTTTTCTATTACTTTTTAAATACATTTAATAAGTAAAATAAGTAAATGTACTTGTTAAATACATTATTTATTTAATAAATATAAAAATTAAATTTTTTTCTTATAAATAAGAACAAATAAACTATTATTGTTTTATTCTTTTATGACCAAAAAAAATTAATAAAGAAATATAAACTGAGATATGGGAGCGATAGGGACGAGGGTGGCTACACATGGCGCCACCGTCACTGGTAACTCACCATTCATCGTCGGAATCATCAGTGAAGGAAACTCTGATAGAAACTGTTGTTAAAGAATCGGATGCGATTGATGAGAATTTTGAAGAACTTGTAGTATAAGAAGAAGAGAAAGAGGAAACCCTATAACTGAATGAAAATAGTTGTATTCATGTAGAACCTGAAACCAAAATCCTGGAACACCAAAAATTTTGGGTGGATGTGCTGAGTGAGAATCTGAATCTTATGAAAGGGTTAACGATCGAGTACGTTGCACCAAGCTTGATTAATGGAGAAATGGAAATTGAGATAGAAGAGGAAAACGTTGCCACGAAAGTGAAGTTCTTGGAAACGACTATAATCTTGTATGCTTTGGAGGAGGATCTCAGTATGAACACGGTGAAGAACTACATGGCAAAGATGTGGAATTTCATCAAGTTACCATATATGTATTACCATGACGAAGGCTATTTGATACTACGGTTTCAATCTCACGCAGACATGGATACAATACTAATGAAAAGGCCTTATATTATCAGAAATGTGTCTTTGCAAATAAAGGAGTGGAAACCTGATTTCAATCTGAAAAGGGACATGTTGTGAACCCTTCCAATGTAGGTCAAGCTTCCTCAGCTTCCTCTTCATCTATGGAGAGCAAAAAGCTTGAGCAAACTAAGAGTTTTGTATGCTCGTATATTGGTAGAAGTGGATATCACGAAGAATCTGACAAGAGAAGTTATAATTAAAGATTGTGAAGGAAGGAAGATTACTCAAGTTGTGGAATATGAGTGGAAGCCACTCTATTGTGAGAAATGCCACAAGTTAGGATATTAGTGCAAGGTAAATGGAAACAACAAAGTAAAATAATGGAAGCCAAAAGAAAAGCCACCTGAAATCAGTACAATGAATACCAATGTTGCCACAATGACTACCAATGTAGTTGTTACCCCTAAAGAAGACCATGAGAAGAAGAATGAGGAAGACAATGGAGATAATTGGACATTAGTTAATAAAGCCACAAGAGATAAAGGTAAGAAAATAGTCTTTCTTGGATCTACATCTGTAGTTAATTGTATGAATGGTTTTGAGGCACTAAGGGTCTTGAATGACCCCTTAGTGACCCTTGATATAGGACCATGTTAGTTTCATGGAATGTAAAGAGGTTGAATAAATCTGGAAAACTTAGAGAGATTAGCTCCCGTCTCTACAAGTTCAAACCAGAAATTATGATTCTTTTAGAAACAAGAGTTAAGAAGGCTAAGGCTAATATGACAAGAGAGAAATTCGAGATGTATGACAATTATATCGATAATTACCAATATCATGATAATGGAAGAATTTGGATTTTTTGGGATGATAGGAGAGTGAATATTCAATATGTTAGAAGTTCTGACCAATATATTCACTGTGGTATATATGATAAGTTTGGCAAATTTAAATATTGGGTGACAAGAGAGCATAAAAGAGTGTTGTGGAAGGATTTAGAGAGTTTGCATAGAAATCAGTAGGGTCCTTAGTGTGCTCTTGGAGATTTCAATATTGTGGCTAGAGCTCATGACAGAATAGGTGGTAGGCTGGTTACTGAGGCAGAGTATTGTGATGTGTTATCTATGATGGATACTACAGGGCTGAATGAAATGGATAGCATAGGGGATTATTACACTTGGAATAATAAGCACAATAATGGTACTATTTACTCTAGGATTGATAGAGTTTTAGGTAATGTGACTTGGCTTCAGGATAATTTGGATAATCAACTAAAGATCCTCTCTCCAAATGTTTCATACCATGCATTATCATGTGTGGAAGGAAATAGTCAAATTGTGGTTAATAAAAAGAGGTTTAAGTTCTATAATTGTGTGGTGGATATGGCAGGGTATGATGATATGGTGAGAAATAGTTGGAATAAGCCCATCAGGGGTACCCTATTTATATTTTGTGGCATAAGCTTCAAAGGTTAAAGCCTGATCTGATCCAACTTAGCAAAACTATGTCTAATGTGAGACAACAGTTGGTGAAAACTAAAAGTGATTTGGAGGAAGCTCAAAATGCTATCGTTCAGAATAGGATGGATAGTAATTTGACAGAGAATGTTAAAAGATGTGTTGATAATGTCATAAAGTAGAATGATTTATAGGAAAGTATGCTTATGCAAAAAGCCAAAGTGAAGTGGCTTAGAAAGAGTGATGGGAATAATGCATTTTTTCATGTTACCATCAAAACAAGAGCATGAGTTAGAGCATAAAAGAGTGTTGTGGAAGGATTTAGAGAGTTTGCATAAAAATCAGCAGCGTCCTTAGTGTGCTCTTGGAGATTTCAATAATGTGGCTAGAGCTCACGACAGAATAGGTGGTAGGCTGGTTACTGAGGTAGAGTATTGTGATATGTTATTTATGATGGATACTATAGGGCTGAATGAAATGGATAGCATAGGGGATTATTACACTTGGAGTAATAAGCTCAATAATGGTACTATTTACTCTAGAATTGATAGAGTTTTAGGTAATGTGACTTGGCTTTAGGATAATTTGGATAATCAACTAAAGATCCTCTCTCCAAATGTTTCATACCGTGCATTATCATGTGTGGAAGGAAAGAGTCAAACTGTGGTTAATAAAAAGAGGTTTAAGTTCTATAATTGTGTGGTGGATATGCCAAGGTATGATGATGTGGTGAGAAATAGTTGGAATAAGCCCATCAGTGGTAGCCCTATTTATATTTTGTGGCATAAGCTTCAAAGGTTAAAGCCTGATCTGATCCAGCTTAGCAGAACTATGTCTAATGTGAGACAACAATTGGTGAAAACTAAAAGTGATTTGGAGGAAGCTCAAAGGGCTATCATTCAGAATAGGATGGATAGTAATTTGATAGAGAATGTTAAAAGATGTGTTGATAATGTCATAAAGTAGAGTGATTTAGAGGAAAGTATGCTTATGCAAAAAGCCAAAGTGAAATGGCTTAGAAAGAGTGATGGGAATAATGCATTTTTTCATGCTACCATCAAAACCAAACATCAAAACAAGAGCATGAGTCTTCTCCATAAAGCAAATGAGACTGTAATCACTGATAAAAAGGAGATCGAGCACGAAGTGATTAATTTTTACAGAAATTTAATGGGTAGTAAATCTAATTATTTAAAGCACATTGATATTGGAGCTATGGGGAGGGCCACCAATTCACAATAGACCAAAGGAAAATTCTTATTGCTAAAGTTTTTGATGTAGATATTGTAAAAGCATTATAGGGTATTGGTGATCTGAAAAGTCCTAGAATTGATGGGTATGGGACTAAGTTTTTTAAAGCCAGCTGGTAAATCATCAAAAAAGACTTTATAACTGCTATTCAAGAGTTTTTTTTAGAAAGGTACTCTGTTTAGAGCTTTTAATAGTACAATTGTGACTCTTATTCCTAAATTTGACAATGTTAAAAGTGTGAAGGACTTTAGACCTATAGCAGGCTACACTACTTTCTATAGAGTCATTTCCAAAATTCTGACTAATAAGTTAGGTAGTATGCTGCAGCAGGTTGTGCATCAGAGCCAGGCAGCATTTGTTCCTAGGCAAATTATTCATAATCATATCCTGTTGGCTTTTGAATGGATGAAAGACTATTCAAGAAGGGGGGGGGGGACCCCTAGATGTATGATGCAGATAAATTATTCATTGATTTGTATCTTAATACAACCTTGTATTGCATATGCACCTTCTCCCTTTTATTTTATTTTTATTAGTTAATTATTTAATTGATAATTGTCAATTCAAAAACATAAAAAGTCATTAAAATCAATATTTTAAAATCAAACACTTGATCAACATGAAGTTAATTTTCAAAACAAAAATATTTCATCACTTCATCAACAAATTCAAAACCATTTCATAATCAAATAATAATAATAATAACAACAACAACAACAACAACAACAACAACAACAACAGCAACAATAACAACAACAACAACAACAACAACAGCAACAACAACAACAACAACAACAACAACAACAGCAACAACAACAACAACAACAACAACAACAACAACAACAACAACAACATCAATAACAACAACAACAACATCAACAACAACAACAACAACAACAACAACAACAACAACAACAACAACAACAACAACATCAACAACAACAACGACAACAACAACAACAACAACAACAACAACAATAACAACAACAACAACAACAACAACAACAACAACAACAACAACAACGACAACGACAACAACAACAACACAACAACAGCAGCAACAACAACAACAACAACAACAATAGTAGCAGCAACAACAGTAACAATAATAACAACAACAATAACAACAACAACAACGAAAGCAACAACAACAACAACAACGACAGCAACAACAACGACAGCAGCAACAACAACAACAACAACAACAACAATACAACAATAAAAACAACAACAGCAACAACAACAACAACAACAACAACAGCAAGAACATCAACAACAACAACAGCAACAACAACAATAACAACAATAACAACAACAGCAACAACAACAACAACAACAACAACAACAGCAACAACAACAGTAACAACAGCAATTGCAACAACAACAACAACAATAATAATAGATTAGAGATAAGGGATGAGATTTACAAGTTATACATTAGTCAACAAGGCACGTGGAATGACCCTTTACCATGTATGGTGAATTTCACTTCTACCAAGCATCTAATATGCTTTCAAAATTTCCAAAGGTAAACTCACACTTCTATATATAGAGCCAACACGTACTTAAGGTGATCATTCACAAATTGAACAAATTGCACATGATTTCCGCAACAATCACGTGAGAAAACTGAAAGACAGAATACTCCATTTTTAAAATAGATTGTATTGTATTGAATTATATACTATTGATAAATTGATTTATGTGAATTATTGCTTATATTTAATTTTGGCAAATAATTTTTTATAATTTAATTGATATGTACATATAATATAAAGAATTTTTATATTGTTAGTTAATCACAACTGGTGATTTATATTAAATGTTTGAGTTTTATTTTAACAACTTAAAAAATAATATCAACGGATGGTTGTGATATATTAATAGTGTAAAATATCAATTAATCTCTAATTTTATATACTTAGCATGTTATAAATCAAATGATAACATAAAAAGAAAGAATTTTTTAATATACTTAGTTTTTCCAATGTATTGATTTTTTTTATGTGTAAAATATTGTTATAAAAGTTTTAAATATATTAGAATTACCATAACGAAGTTGAATGCACATGTTATCAATTATTTTAGTCTCTGAATATATACTAGTTAACTTAGTCTTCAAGTATATTATATATTAAGTCACTAAAATTTAAACTATTTATAATAAAACAAACTGTTAAATATGTATGTGGTTTTGATAACTTTAAACACTACACTTATAATATATATTCTACAATAATATCCACTTGCTTCAAGAGTAAAATTTTATAATTTATTCTACAATAATAACCTTTAAATTAGATTTAATCGAATGGTTATAAATAAAAATGCTCATTATAAACAACTATGATATGGTCGTCGAAACGGCCTTACGCTCATGTTGAAATAAATTAAATAAGAAAATTAAAAATTAACACTTTTGATAGTCAATAAGAATAGGGATTATTATTTTATCATGACTAACATTTTATCTTGTGAATATTGATAGGATATTCTGTATTCTTGATTAGTAAATGTTTTTTTGTGATTAAATGATTATACGTGACTACTTTATTTTTGTTCCTACATGTGAAATTAAATTATTTAAGATATAATATTATATTTAGAAAAATATTGAATATAATTGTATAATATTATGTGTAACCTTGTGACATCATCACGATGTAAATTTGTGTACGAGTATTTCATCCCTTACATTATAGATGATGTCGGAGGAGCTGCTAGACCATTCAAGTACTCAGAAAATTGAGTGTTCGGAAGAACATGAGGATGCAGTTTGAAAGATAGACAGGACGACCCACACTTTAAAGTTCACGGGGCTTGTAAGGAGTAACAAAGAAATATGAGAATTAGTTATTTCTTCCATAGTACATAACGTCACTTTAGAATTGGTATTACCTACGGAAAAAATATTAGAATACTCAATTTAGATAGTGTTGGAGAGAGTTC